GTACAGAATATATGAACAGAGTAATGTGTATATATAAGTTTCCTTACTTTCTATTCAATATGAATATTGTCATGCAAAGAACAATGATATTCATGAAACTATAACTTAATTATATGATGCACATATACAAATGCATCACGTTATAAATATATTATGTTTCTGTTTCTTTATTTCACATTATAAACAGGTTATGCTTTTGTTTCTTTTATCTCACATTATATATAACGCAGAATGCAAACAGATTGTAAAAAGTGATAAAGAAAACATAGTGTAAAAGAGTTATGCAAACAGTGCATAACTGATAAAGAAATAGTGCAGAGTACAAATATATCACAAATGGTCACTCTTCTATTTCTTTTATATATGAATAACATGAGATTTTAAGACATTTAAGTCTTTCTTCTGTCTTTATTTCCATCATTTATTACTTATTTCAATGAATGATAGTAACAGTGTACTAAATACAGAATGCATAACAGAAACAGAATATACATGAATATAAAAGGCAAACAAAACAGTAATGACAATCTATCAAATATAACAGGATGACATTAGAAATAATGTCAAGTTTACTGAAACAGATTTTGTACAGCCACGTTTGGCTTTATGTTTCCGTTTTTATTTAATTGTTATTATCATGCAGCGGAAAAGATTATATTTGAGTTCTCTAAAACATTCAAGAACATATTTTAAAACATCATATAAGATCGAATCATTATCAATGGAAAACTATAAGTTCTTAAACACAACGCTCTGATACCACATGTAAGTTCATCCATGAAAACCATGAAAATAAATCTTTAGAATTTATAGCTTTCACATAATAAGAATGGTTATGGATTACCTCTTTCCATGGCGATATGATCATCCACTATGTGTTGTGTGTTGTTCTTGTCAATAGAAAAACTCTTTTATCTCTTTCCCTTCCTTTCTATGCTCTTCCTTTAGTGATGGCTGATAGAGGCAATCTTTATGGGCAGAGATAAGGACAGTGTTTGAAGTCTTTTTCTCAAGAGTCTTACCACTTCATTGACAACTCTCCATTCAAGAGTCATGTCAATCCAACAAATAAATGATATATCCCTTCATGTCACAAGAGACATTCTTACACCTTTCAGATCTTACAAACTCTAAGAAGATCACACCATTTTTTAACAATTCTCTAACTGAACTGTGCCTGACAAGAATGTGTCTCCTCTTTCCATTATATAATGTTGGTGTAACGGAAGCGATCGTTGCGCAGCATTGGTCAGAAGCAATCAAATAATGCATAGAATAAATAGAAGAGAAGAAACAAAGAATTTGGTAACGAGATTCAGTCAATTGTGGCTACGTCCCCGGGAGCGATGAGCGGATACCAATATATCACTAGAGAATAAGGATTACGAACCCTAGCACACCCATGGGCCCAAGTGCTCATGAGGTGTTTCTATTTGGTGAATATATTTGGTGCACATTACAACAAGGTACATGAGTCCAATATATAACATTAGGTACTATACTATATTCCAATATTAGGTGATGTGAGACTAATGTAATAACATATTAAGCATTCACAACAATCTTCACCTTGATTGAAATAGACGAATATCTCGCTCCTTATAAAATCTACACAAGATTCTTCACCTTAGCGAATATCTGACTCCACCTTGCTTAATGCATAATTCTCTTTAACAAATTGCTCCCATTCAGCATAAATCTTCTGAGTATCCTTGACGATGTTACCAAGAGCCTAGCTCTCTAAAATTTTAGGGTAGCTTCCCGTACCGCCATCAATTGGAACACGCCGCCTAGCCACCTATTGCTAGGAAATCTTTCGATATATGGAACATCTACACAAAAGTTCACCAACAATCGTCCTCTTCAATACTCAGTCAAGCTGAACCTTGGAAAGCCTCAATCGCTACCACCATTGTCTAGCCCAACAATCATAATTCAAAAGAACTATCATACTCCACCATAAGGAGTATACCCAGAGCACATACCTTGCATAATGCTATCCAATGCCCGTGTCATGTAAGGACCCAAATTCCACCATTGAAATTTTTTCCTTATTTTATTCATTTTTCATTCATTTTCCTATAACTTATAGTTACAAATTCAACAACCTTATTTTAAATTCTACTTTCCTATTCACACTCATTCCATAAGTCAATATCAACATACACATTCGTTTAACAGGAAAAAATAATTCATATTAATGCATCCCGGTAACTACCGCATACAACTAGCAACGAGATTCCAAAATACCCATAGCTACAAATATCCAGAATTACAAATGTTCAGTTCAAAACATAATCAGTTATGTTACAAAACAATGAAGATAAAGACTTCGAAACTAAAAACCTCTAACCTCCTAATTCAGACATCCTTAAATCTTTCACATACTTGCAATGGGATTAACATTGACAATTCACAGAAAACACAAACGAGCAAGTCGTTAACTCAATAAATGCCAATGTACATTAATCCACATTTTAATAAGATTAAGTAAACACTTTAGAGTTAAATATACTTAAAACCATTTCCATCGTTTATACTTTTGAAAATCGTGCTACATAACTTGAGCCAAAGTTTGCTACATTGCTTGAGCCAAAGCTTGCTACATCGCTTGAGCCAAAGCTTGCTACATCGCTTGAGCCAAAGCTTGCTACATCGCTTGAGCCAAAGCTTGCTACATCGCTTGAGCCAAAGCTTGCTACATCGCTTGAGCCAAAGCTTGCTACATCGCTTGAGCCAAAGCTTGCTACATCGCTTGAGCCAAAGCTTGCTACATCGCTTGAGCCAAAGCTTGTTACATCGCTTGAGCCAAAGTTTGCTACATTACTTGAGCCAAAGTTTGCTACATAACTTGAGCCAAAGTCGCTAACCAATCATGGTCGGCTAAAAACGTGTTTTCTTTTCATTGATACACCATCAATTCATAAACAGTAAATCCACACAATCATTATTACGAACATACCCATATATGTTTATAATAAATAAGCGACTCACAACTTGATCATTACCACAACCAGAAAATCCACACATTTTCCATTACAATGCGCAAGTTAAAGACTTATCCTTACCTTGATGAGTGTTGGGTTTGGTCCTTGGTGACTTTGCAAGTTCCACCGACACCGCCTCCAACCTTAGGATCTTTCCTCATCCCCACCACA